AGCGCGCTATAGTCATAAAGATCTGCTACATACAAGCAGAAGCCTGGGGAATATCCCTGGGAATGGTTACTAAGGGTGTGGGATACTGGTGCATGGAATGTAATATTAGACCAGTCTGAGTTTCTGGATATGGGACCCCTAAGCACAGACTCTTCTTTCAATGTCTCTGCGAGAGAGGCTAAGAGAGGATCTAATTCTTTATTTGATTGGTTCAGTGAATCATGGACTGCCTAGATTGGACCAACTTGAAGTACCTGACCTACCTTGGTACACTGTAGAGGAAGGTATCCAAAAGCTTAGAGAAATTGGTATGTTGGAATGGATCTACCAGGATATTCCCATAGACCCAAAAAGGGGGTGTCCTGAGGACATACCCTTTACCACAACCATAAGGAACAAGTTTTGAAGTGAGCCCCAGCATCTCTTAAGACTCCTGTAATTGCTATTTTATGTGCACCAGCATTAACAGTGGGCATTGCCCTAAGCGAACTCCGACAGATATTTATAGGTTTAGTACTAAGGTAGCAGATGGACATTGGGCCTCCAGTCAAGTACTCCCTCAATCCAAGAACACTTTGTTCTATTAAACTGGCATTCCATGATGCTCATCTTCTCATTAGGATAGCTGAAGACAAGTGGATGCATAAGCAAATGTGAAGAAAGCTGATGGTGCCCAGCTATCAAAAGATATAGCATCTAGGGTCTTAAAGGCTTGAAGATAAACAAGCAGCCATCTAGCATAGAAGCATCAAAGCCCACATGGAAGAAGCACACCAACCTGTGTGATCACGAGGTGTCAAAGGAATCAGGTATCAAGCATCAAGGAACAAAAATCACATCATTGTGAATAGTGGGGACCGAAAGCCCATTTGTGGGCAACTGGTTATCCCCTTACAGAAGAGTCACAGTCAGGAGATGAGCCAGTCAGGGTGCAGTGTAGCAACGATGAAACATACAACTTTCCTCTAGTTCTTAAATGCTTCCTCCCCACAACTATCATGATCCCAATTCTACATTACAAATCCGGCTGAACCGGAGGATGTAAACTGGTACAGACGGGCACTGGAAACACAGGGAGTCCAGGACAGATGAACCCCTCAGGACCAGTAGTAAGAGTGGTGATACCAGGAGGGCAGAGCGAAGGTGAAGTAGAAAGGGGGAACCAATTACAAGGATCTACATATAACCTCCACTCTGGAGGACGGACAACAGAAAAGTGGGTGAAGGGAGACATTGGACACTGTAGGACATTACAAAATAATAATGACTTGTAAATTATCAAGGGTTTATGGGGAGGGGGAATGGGGAGAGAGGGGGAAAATGAGAAACTGAGGCCAAGGGCTCAAGTAGAAAGCAAATGTTTTGAGAATGATGATGTCAACAATTGTATAAATGTGCTTGACAAAATGGCTGTATGTATGGATTGTGCTAAGCGTTGTACGAGCCCCCAATAAAATGATTTAAAAAATAAATAAAAATGAAATCTGAATGGAAATGGAAGAAAAACTATATTTAAATGCTTTATATAATATAATTATTTATTACTTTAAAAAAGTATTCCATTTCCTTACATGGAAATATGTAAGTATTTTAATAGAATATATATGTAGAATTCTGATCATAACCTTTTTGTTACTTTCTTGAAGAAAATTTAGAAACACATTCATCGTTGCAAAATATAAATATATTTTACATGAAAATAATAATAAATGTTAACATTTTGTACCTCTTAATATGCCTAATACCTCATTTATTAACTTAATGATAAGTGTCCTGGTTTTTTTCTTGAGAACACCCTGCCTAAAACAATTGGTACCAGGAATGAGGTGGTTCTATAAAAACAAGATCATAAATATGGGTTTCATGAATTCGTTCTCCAGCCTGATTAAGCCTAACAGTACTGAGAATGCTGCCTCTACCCCTGAAAGCATGAATATTTCTGCCACTATTACTCAAGAGGATGGTGTGAAACCATGGTATGAAGTAGCAAACCTAATACCCGCAGCATCACCACCAATAGATGAAGTGCTGGTGAGAGGAGAGGTTCTGGGGGATCGTTGTTTGATATCTTTCAGCAGTTTTGTTGGGATGAGAAGTATAGGGCAGCAGGTTCATTGGTCCTCATTACAATAGAAAACATTATCAAGGAAAGGGATGATTTCAGAACCTCAGAATCACGTCTTATGTTTTGAATAAAAGACCTAAATGCTTTTGTATGCGCTACAAAGGAGAGCCTTCTCTCCTCTAGTAATAGAACTGACATCACCAAAAACCAAATGCAGAGTCTCATTATAGAAGTACCTGAATTACAGTGTCAGCCAATACATGGTACTGTGTCTCCAATAGCCAGGATGGTCCAGGAACCAAGGGGTGGAAGCCAGAGTGGTCCCACTCGCTGTTACTCCTAGGGTTCCACTCACAGCAATTTTGTTTCCTGTCCCAGCAACCCTGTGATCTTTGGGCCTAGAGGTTCTAGTTCCAAAGGAAGGAACACTTCCACCTGGAAACACGGAACTGATTCCATTCTGCCAGCTAAGAATCGCCCCTGGCCACATTGGGCTCCTCATGCCTTTGGATTAAGAGATCAGGAAGGGTGTCACTATACTGAGTGGTGTGATTGATCCTCATTACCAAGGGGAAATTGGATTGGTGCTATATAATGGGGGTAAAGAAGGATATGTCTGGAATCCAGGAGATTCCTTAGGTCATCTCTTAGTACTACCATGTCCTGTAATGAAAGTAAATGGTCAACTACAGCAACTCAATCCTGACAGTGCTGCTAATAACCCAGACCCCTCAAGAATGCAGATCTGGGTCACCCCACAACCAGTTAAGGTACTGAATGAGGGTAAAAGGGAATACAGAATAGGTAGTGGAGGAAGGCAGTTCTACTTATCATTTATGATCATGTGATCGATTGCAAAGGCAAGGTTTATGATTGTCAGTATTTCTTCTTTATATGTGCTTATTGAATCTTTCCCTCATTCACTCATTCATTCGGGTTTAATATACCCGATATGAATAAGTTCAAAGTGTTTTCATTTATATGTATGCTGGCTATATGATGTTAGGTGTAAGTATGGTTTATTTAACGCCTGGAGATTATACTCGTATATGGAAAGAATTGTCTACAAGTGTAAAGTTGGCAAGTGGTGGACTGTGATAATTTTTGTTTCAGCATAGCTCCCCTAGGAACATGTATTCAGAGTTTAACCTGTCAATCAGGTAGCAGCTGGATTGTAGGGTGACTGAGATAAATGTCATTCGAGGCCAGCCTCTCTCTCCTTCTCCCTGGAGATTGGACCAGAGCGCTGCCTGACTTAGCTGTCCTGTCTCTACACATGTAGTGTGCTACCTGTGGGCAGAACCAGCCCATGTATTGTGGTGGGCCATATTGCTGTTGCTTGCTGTTAAACACTGAGGTGACACCCGCCTTGCTGTGTCTGCTGACTGTGGGCTGACCCCGCTCATCTTGTCATCGCTCCAGATGCTGTTGCAGGTTCAATGCCAAGGAAACAGATAGTATGGATCTCTATCTCCCCTTTCATCCAAGTCAACACCTGTCAAGCTTCTAATCCATTGCTTCATCTTCCTTCCCTGGTCCACCTACCCTTGGGAAACTCCAAAGTATGTTCCCTTTGGTATGTAAGTCTCTGCCTTGATTTATATCTTTATAGTACTGGTTTCATACAATATTTGTCATTTTGTGATTGTCTAACTTCACTCAGTATAATGTTCTACAGGTCTGTCTAAGTCATGAGGTGCTTCGTGGTTTCATCATTGTTTATTTTAGCAGTGCATAGGATTCCATTGCATGCATGTCCATAAGTGGGAGAAGAGAAATCAGGAGGTGGGTATGGGAGATAAACACAGGGGTGGGTTGATGAATAGTTTGAAATGTTGAATGCAGAGTTGGTAGTCTGAAATGTACCCCCCCCACAACTCATTTTAAATTTTTATAAATTATTAAAAAATAAATAGATGATGGCAAATTTTTTCCAAATTTGGTGAGAGACATAAACCTACAGATTCAAGAGTATGAATAAAACACAAACTTAACAATCCCACATGAAAACACATTATACTTAAACTGCTGAAAATAAAGATGGAATAAAATTTCTGAAAATAGTAAACAAAACCAAAAATCAACTATCTATAAAGGAAAGAAGTACAAAACAGCTTGAGTTGGAAACCATGGAGGAAAGAAACAAGTGGGACAGACTTTAAATCAGAAAATGCCAACTGTGGATCCTAGACTAAGCCCAGCAAAAATCATGAACATAATGAAGAGGAAGTGGAGATATTCTTAGAGGAAGAAAGAACAAAGAAATATGCAGCCAGAAGACATACCCAAAATAATGACTAAAGGAAGTTATTTAAAAAGAAAAACATTTCTCAAAGAAGGAATAGTGGAACATTAGGAAAGGAGATAGAACCCACTAAGCAAAAGTACGTGGGAAAAAATTTAACTTTTCATCTTCTCTCCTTGAGCTCGTCCATGGAAAAAAGATGAGGCTTTCTATTTTTGTAAAGAGGTACAGTCTCAGAAACCCACAGAAGCAGTTCTAGTCTGCCTATAGGTTGGCTGAGAGTCAGAACTGAGCTGATGGCAGTATGTTGAACTTCCTATATTATGTCTGATGGTTGAAGCAAAAATAACAGTGCCACCTGAAATGGTATTAAATGTATGTATAGACAATTTTTGAGCCAATTATATTATAAATTGGGTGGCTATTAAGATGTAAAGAGTAATATGATTTCTATGCTTAATATGAAGCAATAATGATGACACTAGTAGATTGAAATAAATTCTATATGCTTAATGTAATGACTAATAAGTTATATATGCTTAATGTAAAGACTTTAGTAAACACAAAAGAAAGTATACAAAGATATGCACTGAACATCACTATAGATAAGTTAAAAATGTAATTTGAAAAAGTATATATTTTAATTTAAGCTTAAGAAAATAACTCAGAGTTCCGGCCCACGTTGCCGACCGCCAAGTTGTGCGCTGAGAGCGTCGGAGCCAAGCCAGGCTGGTCAGGATGATCACAGACGTGCAGCTCACCATCTTCGCCAACATGCTGGGCGTGTCGCTCTTCTTGCTTGTCGTCCTCTACCACTACGTGGCCGTCAACAATCCCAAGAAGCAGGACCGACCGAGAGCGGCGCTCTCTCAGCCCCAGGGTTCCAGGACCTAGTCTGAGGCAATATGGAGGGTGTGAGGGCCCGCCCTCACCCTTCACTTCATCCCTCTACCCATCACCACATACAAAGCAACTACACCTGGAGTTTTCCAAACAACTTTTATTTCCTCAAACTTTTCCTTAACCCTGTGGAACAAGAAGCTGCCACTGAATAGGGCCCACTATAGGGGCTGCCCACTACAGGGCCCACTATAGGGGCCACCCCCACCCCCAATATAAAAATATAGATATATAAAAAAAAATACAGGACTTAAAAAAATCCAGAAAGACCAAATACAGAGAGAACAGAAAATAACACAAGCACAAAGAAGGAAGCATTAGCCTCCACATATCAATAGCTATATAAATATCAAATGGCCTAAATGCACAAATTGTATTAAAAGCATTGCCTACAACAAAGATTAGCAAGAATGTGGGTAAATGGAGTTTTTATCCATTCCTGGTGGGAATGCAAAATGATACAGGTGTGAAAAACAGTGTGATCATTCTTCAAAAAACTGAAAATGAAACTACCATATAACCTAGAAATTCCACTCCTAGTAAGTATTTTTTAAAATTTAAATTGATTATTTTATTTTAAAATTTTCACCTACATACAATTAGCATTTCATGCATTTCAGTAGTTCAGTAACATTCATAAGAGTTGTGCTACTATCACTACAACAAATTCCAGCATATTTCATCATTCATGTACTTGTTCTCTCCACATTTCCTGCTGGTCTCTCCCGTTTACATACTCATGGGCAATTATACTTTGGGTCAAGAGGCTTATCACTGAATAGGTGTCACATTTTGAACAAACTAAAATTGCAATAACCCACACTGCAATATACTATGCCTCATAATAAGACCTTTCCAATCTTTGGTCTACAGATAGAGAGATTCAACAGTGGCTTAATCCACAAGGGGGATGCTGCATATGGATTTGGGGCTTTTATTGTCATCCTCAGCATTCAGAATTTAAACTCTAATAAATCATTGTATTGGGGGCTCGTACAATTCCCATCACAATCCATACATATATCCATCGTGTCAAGCACATATGTACATTTGTTACCATCATCATTCTCAAAACACTTGCCTTCCACTTGCCTTCCACCTGAGCCCTTAATATCGACTGCTCACTTTCCCCCTCCCTCTCTTCTCCCCCCTCCATCATGAACCCTTCATAATTCACAAATTATTATTATTTTGTCATATGTTACACTGTCTGATGATTCCCCCGCCCTTTCTCTGCTGCCCATCCCCCAGGGAGGAGGCTATATGTAGATTCTTGTAGCCGGTTCCCCCTCTCTACCCCACATTTGCTCCTCCCTCCAGGCATCGCCACTCTCACCACTGGTCCTGAAGGAGTCATCTGTCCTGGATCCCCTTGTGTTTCCAGTTGCTATCTGTACCAATGTACATCCTCTGGTCTAGCCAGATTTGTAAGGTAGAATTGGGATCATGATAGTGGGTGGGTGGGGGGGAGCATTTAAGAACTAGAGGAAAATTATATGTTTCATCATTGTTACCCTGCACCCTGACTGGCTCATCTTCTCCCCACAACCCTTCAGTAAGGGGGTGTCCAGTTGCCTACCTATGGGCTTTGAGTCTCCACTCTGCACTCACCCACATTTACAATGATAAGATTTTTTTGTTCTTTGATGCTTGATACCTGATCCTGTTGACACCTCATGGTCACACAGGCAGGTGTGCTTCTTCCATGTGGGCTTTGTTCCTTCTGAGCTAGATGGCTGCTTGTTTATCTTCTGGGTTTGGATTTTATTGATTGCAATTCTTGGATCATAACATGCAAGTGTGTTTCTTCTGTATGGACTTTGCCAATGCTTCATTAAGATGGCTGAGTGTTTTAAGACATCACTTATCTGTTAGTTTGTTGTACTGTGATGGCTTTTGTGCTGCTGTGATGCTGGGAGCTGTGTAACGGGTATTTCAAATGTCAGTAGGGTCACCCAAAGAGAATGGGTTTTAGCAGAGATTCAAGACTAAGAACAGACAACAAGAAGGAATCCGTTGCCCCCTTTGGAGGGAGTGTCTTTGAAAACTTTATTCATAGCTTGGAAACATTGTCAGATATGGAAGGCTTAATAAATGGAAGCAGAACTTTGTAATAGATAGTAACCGAGGATGGGCCTCTCTTTGGGAGGGTACCAAAGTGCAATTGAAGAATAGCTGCTTTCTCAGATTGGAGTCAATCATGGTGTCAAGAATGGAGTAATAATGCCTGTGGGAGTGGAGCCTTCAGTATCTTCATTTGCTGATGGGGATAATTCAAAGTAAGAAAGAAAAACTACAAAAATCTGTTAATGATTTGAACTTTGCATGTGTGAAATATAGATCTAGGAACATTGGAAGTCATAAAAAATGAATTGGAATACACAATTATTGATATCCTAGCCTGAAATGGACTGGTATTGGCCATTTTGAATCAGAAAAAAAACCATTTGATTTCTTATGCCAGGAATAATACAATCAAGAGGAATGTTATTACATTCATTGCCAAACTAGAATCAATGCAATGGGATGTGTGATAGGATTATACATATTTGCCTTCAATGGAATCCAATTTTATGCACCAACCACCATAGCTAGTGAAAAAGAAACTGAGGAATTCAAACAACTTCTTCAGTCAGAAATTGATCAAACATGCAATTGAGATTTGTGAATAATTTTTTGCAAGCAAATGAAATGCAAAAGTTGGAAACAAAGAGGAAGGAATAGAAGTTGGAAAATGCAGCCCTGGTGATAGAAGCAAAGCTGGAAATCACATTTGCCTGTTGCAAATGAATGATTTGTTCGTGGCAAATACCTTTCTTCAACAATACAAAAGGAGATACAAATGTAGACTTCTTAAGATGGAACACTCAGAAATCAAATTGACTGCATTTGTGGGCAGAGATGATGCAGATGCTCAACATAAGCAGCTAAAACCAGACCAGGAAATGACTCTAGAAAGACCATCAATTGCTCAGTTCAAGTTGAAGCTAAAGAAAATTAATACAAGCCCATGAGAACCAAAGTATGACCTTGAGTCTTTCCCACATGAATTTCAAGAACAGAATGACACACAAATGACAGAAGGCCTGATTAGCTGTGGGAGGACATTAAGAACATAATTCATAATGAAAACAAAATGTCATTAAGAAGATAGTAAAGAAAGAACAGATCAAAGAAGATGTTAGAAGAAACTCTGAAACTTGCTCTTAATGGTAGTTAAAGCAAATGGAAGAATGGTAAGATCAAAAAGCTGAACAGAAAATTTCAAAGAGCAGTTCAAGAAGATAAAGCAAAATATTATAATGAAATGTGCAATGATGTATAATTAAAAAACCAAAATGGAATAACACATTAGGTGTATCTTAAACCGAACAAACTCAAGAAAAAATGGAAGCCTCCTGCAGCAAGATTGAAATGTTACATGGGCTAAATTTTGAATGAGGCAGGAATGATTAAAAGAAGATGCAAGAATACACAGAATCACTATACCAAAAAGAACTAGTCTACATTCCACCATTTGAGATAGCATATGAGCAAGAATCAATGGTACTGAAGTAGTGCAAGCTGCTCTGAAACAGGCAAAATCAAGTCTCCTGGAATTGATGGAATATCAATTTAAAGGCCTCAACAAGACGATGAAGCACTGAAAGAACTCCCTTGTCTGTGCCAGGAAATTTGGAAGACAGCTAGTAGGCCAACTGGCTTGAAGACATCTTTATTTATACCCATTCCTAAGAAAGGTGTCCAACAGAATGCTCAAACTGTATAATAACGCCATTGATACTGCATGCAAGTAAACTTTTGCTGAAGATAATACACCAAGGGTTGCAGCAGTAAGATTCAGAAGAGGATGTGGAACAAGGGATATAATTCCTCATGTCAAATAGCTCTTGGTTGAAAGCAGAGAATACCAGAAAGATGTTCACTTGTGTTTCATTTACTATGCCAAGGCATTCAATGGTATGGATCATAATGAACTATAGAAAACCTTGAGAAGAATGTGAATTTCAGAACACTTTACCGTGCTCCAGTGGAACTTGAACATGGAACAAGAGGCAGTGTGCAAACAGAAAAAGGTGAGGTAGTTTATTGTGCCAGGCTGTGGGATTAATTGAAGGGCGGAGAGATAAATGGCTCGGCGAGCCTCACCTTTCTTGTCTCTGGCTCTTTGATCATAGGACCAGTGGGCAGCTGCCTTGCTTGTTCTGTACCTCAGTTGCAAGCTACACTACCTGTGGGACACCAAACCTGTAAACTGTGTCGCTGTAATTTGACGTTTCTTCAAGATATGCTTCGCCACACAATTGGAATTTACATCTCTTGAGCTGAGGACTGACTGTTGGTGACCTGCCTTGCTCTTGGCTGCCGGTGCCCGGAGAATCTGAATCTCTAGAGAACCCTGTCCAACATACACGGTAATACTGGATAGTTTAAAATTAGGGAAGATGTTCATCAGGGTTGAATTTTCTCACGATACTTATTTGAACAATATGCTGAGGAAATAATCAAAGAATTTGGATTATATGAAGAAGACTGTGATATCAGGTTTTGAAGAAAGCTTATTAACAACCTGTGATATGTAGATGTCCCAACATTGCTTGCTGAAAATGAGGACTCGAAGCACTTGGTGATGAATATCAAGTATTGTAGCCTTCAGAATGGGTTACAACTCAAGGTAAAAAAAGACAAAAATTGATAAAACTTAAGCAACAATTAATATCATGATAAATGGAGAAAAATTTGAAGTTATCAGAGATTTTGTCTTGCTTTGATCCATAATTAATGCTCATGGAAACAACAGTCAAGAGATCAAAAGACATGTTTCATTAAGTAAATTTTCTCCATGAGATTTCTTTAACGTACTGAAAAATAAAGATATTACTTTGAGAAGTCAGATGTGCCTTACCTAAGCCAGGGTATTTTCAATTGCCTAATATACGTGTGAGATTTAGACATTGGATAAGGATGGCTGAAGCATAATTGATGCATGGGAA